TCGGAGAAGATGTACTCGCCTTCGACATAGCGGTTATAGAACTGAAAAAATAGACGTGAAAAAAGAAGCGCGATGAGAACGACGGTAACCGTAAAATATCCCCAATCTTTGAAACCCTAATTTGAAATGAAAATATCCACAAATTGCTTGAAATCACAAATAGTAACCGTAAAATGAGAGGAAAACAACATCCAACCTAACTAAACAACAAGTCGATTGAAATCCCCAATTTTTGAAACCCTAATTTGAAACCAAAATTTCTCGAAATCATTGAAAACGCAAAACCAAACGGTAAAAGTAAAGGAAAACAACATCCATCCTAATAAAAACCCATTAAATCGGCAAGAGAAGCCTTCGATTTACCTTGGTCTTGTATCGGATCGAAATCGCCTCGAAATAACCTTTGAGAGAAACGGCGTTAGGGTTTTCTGAATTTCGTGAAAAGTGAGTAAAAAAAAATCTTCTTATATATGTTCGGTAAAAAATCCGGTTAGGTTTAAAAGTAATTCGGTAAAATCCGGTTTGGACGACTTAAAATTAAGTCGTCTGTTGATACTATACATCCGACTAAGTCGTTTGCCTTATTAAATTAAGTTGTCCAGACCCTAAACCCTAAACCCTAAACTAAATTGACTAAATTAACTAACTAACCACGTTATAAAATCAAATTATACTTAAATAGAGTCTACTATATATAGAAATAATCACACTTAGGTAAATTTTTAATTTTTTAAAAGAACATTTATGCTTTCGAAAATCTGACCCTAAAAAACACATACAATACTACAACATATGTTGGCAAACCCAAAACCAAAGAATATCACCACTCACTACTTTCACTCATCTATGTTAAAAATAATTAAATTTTGTTCTATCTTAATTTATATCTCTTAAAACTGGTGTTAATTACATGATTTCAATTTTTCACTTATCTAAATATTTTTTACAGATTTTTTAAATTATGTTTAAGAATAACTATACCAGACGACTTTCAACTAAGTCGTCCAGACGACTTAGTTGAAAGTCGTCTGAATAGAATCCTTACGGGGTTAGACGACTAATAATTAAGTCGTCTGACAAATCTTCCGGCTGGATGACTTTCCAGACGACTTAAAATATTAGTCGTCTACTAAGTCGTCCAGGCTTTTTGAGTATGTTTTAAGAATTTATGTTAGACTTCTTAGACGACTAATAATTAAAATTGGTGTTACCATGGTTTGTACATAGAGGACAAAAGGAGTTGTAGTTATAAAAGTTGATCATCCATTACAAGTCATAGGTTTAAAAACAATTTGAAACAAGAGAACAACAACATAGAAGTCATCCATTACAAGTCCACTAGAAGCAGATTACAATAAGACGATAGCAAGACAAACATCCATCATTTAGGAAGAGACGAGGAAGTTGAGGCACCATCCGCAGCATCATCCCCTTGAGGAGGTGTATACTGAATCTCAGTAAAACTAGGACCAAAAGGAGTCACATGAAATACCATGTCTCCTTCCTTTTTGAACACGAGAATGTCACCTATGCAAAGTGTGCTTGGGCGAAGGCTTCCCAACCATCGGTGAGTCTTCTTCCTTCTTGTATAACTTCCCAAGTTCATTTTCCTTGGTTCGGCGTGCCTTCTATGTGTTTTGAGTAGAAGGCAAGTGGTATTGTCTACAAGTCAACAAAGGAGAAGATAAGCAAAGGAAATAAACAGAGGAGAAATAGAGAGCGTGTGTATACCACACCACTGTAGAAACTAGGAAGCAGAGGCTTCAAGAAGTGAGGTTCATGCTGATTCGCCATCTGCAAACAAGAAACAAATTGGAAACTTTTTAATTCTTAGTCATCTAGGTCGTCCACCTTGAAGACTTAAATTAAATCGTCTGGGTCGTCCACCTAGAAGACTTAAATTATGTCGTCTGGGTCGTCCACCTGGAAGACTTTCCAGACGACTTAATTATAAGTCTACCAAGACATCCAGTAGAACATTTGAAAGCTGACCAGACGAATGAGAGGAGGAGAACAACATCCAACTTAACTAGACCACAAATCGATTGAAATCCTCAATCTTTGAAACCCTAATTTGAAATGAAAATATCCACAAATTGCTTGAAATCACAAATAGTAACCGTAAAATGAGAGGAAAACAACATCCAACCTAACTAAACAACAAGTCGATTGAAATCCCCAATTTTTGAAACCCTAATTTGAAACCAAAATTTCCCCAAATCGTTGAAAACACAAACCAAACGGTAAAAGTAAAGGAAAACAACATCCATCCTAATAAAAACCCATAAATCTGCAAGAGAAGTCTTCGATTTACCTTGGTCTTGTATCGGATCGAAATCGCCTCGAAATCACCTTTGGGAGAAACGGCGTTAGGATTTTCTGAGTTTCGCGAAAGAAGTGAGTAAAAAAAAAGCATCTTATATATGTCCGGTAAAAAATACGGTTAAGTTTAAAAGTAATTTGGTAAAATCCGATTTGGACGACTTATAATTAACTAAACCCTACACCCTAAACTAAATTGACTAAATTAACTACTAACCATGTTATAAAATCAAATTATAATTAAATAGTGTTTACTATACACAAAAATAAACACACTTAGGTAGATTTTAAATTTTTCAAAAAAACATTTATGCTTTCTTAAGAAACACATACAATACTACAACATATGTTGGTGAAACCTAAACTAAAGAATATCATCACTTACTACTTTCACTCATCTATGCTAAAAATAATTGACTTTTTTATATCTTAATTTATATCTCTTAAGACATATGTTAATTACATAATCCCAATTTTTCATTTATCAAGATATTTATTACACAAATTTTAAATTATTTTTTAAAAAAACTGTCCCATACGACTTGCGAGTGCTAGAAACGTAAAAAAAAATTCTTTTTTTGTTTGTTCACAAGGGGTTGATTGTAATTTCAACAGCCTTTTAAGTTACTTTTGTATTTGATTCAAGTTTGGGTTTACTTTTGCATTTCAAATCAAGTTTTGAGTCATATTTGACAATTTTTCCTAAATATTTTGATTAAAATACTTTCATATATTTTCAAGCTTATAAGAATCTACGTATCATCGTCATTGCAGCAAATATGTACAGACACGTAGAAGAATTACGAAAACTAGATGACATACAAAAACAAAAAGAGAAAAACAAAGACGTATTCACAAGGGAAAAAAAACTCATACACGCAATAATACTGATGTTTTTCTTATATAAGCACCCAAAGTTTTGATGAGAGCCAATTGAGCCCTCTATCCTTATCAGACCCGACTTAAGTATTCAGAACCCGGAAGAATCTAACACATCCATCTGAAGCCAACAAGGATTTGTATGGAAGCTAGAGCTCTGATTTTTCTTCCTGATCGCAGCCAATGAATGTGATAAAAAAAACCATTTTCAGACATTATTGAGAGATCTAATGGTTTTGTTCTATTCTTTTGGTTGTTAATTTGGTATTTAAATTTTATTCAGAAATGATTGGGAGAAGAGGAGCTGACGGTTTTGAAGATATGCAGTGCAAAAACATGTCTTCATAGAACATACCAACTCATAATAAGAGTTCAATCAAGAACTACTACACAGTTCAGGATCGATCATCATCACACGAAGCAGAGGAGATAGATAGCTTGACCAACCGCCTGATCAAAGGAGCAATGTAAGAAGATAGCGGAACAACAAGAAGGAAACTAGGGTTAGAGTTTTGGATGGAGGAAGAAACATCATCGTAGCAATGTAGCTCAGGGTTTGATGACAAGCAACGTTGCAAATAGCTTTTGGGAGAACATGACAAATCAGTAAACAACTCCCCCAATCATCAAAGCTAAACGTCATCATCAAACTCGTCATCATCAAAATCGTCGTCATCATCATCCTCTTCATCGTTCTTGGCTTCCATCATCTCTATCTCCCTCAGCTCTTCGTCATCCCCTTCAACCCCGACATGATAACGCTTCCCTGACCTGCATTTTTATTCTCTGATCAAATTACTATAAAAGCCTAACGATAGTAATCAAATGGAGAAGACCTTTCTAATGGAAAATCCGCCACAAGTGTCACATCTGGTCTTTCTTCTTTCAGCTTCTCCAAAGGAAACCTACAACACACATTAACTCAGTGAGCCGTTGGTAAGATGTTAACAATGAAAGGATCAATCAGCTACTTTGGTTTGTAAGATCTCCGGCCATCATCAGAAACTAAGCCGTTGTTGCTTGAAACATCCTATTAGAGTGAGTAAACCAATAAGACGACGATTAAGAACAAACAAAGCTAATACTTTACATCCATCAAATCTGGCATATATAATTCTATAAAACTTACAATGTGACGAATGAATTTGAAGTTTCCTTTGAGTAATGAGCTACAGAGTTCCAAGACTTCTTTCTGAATCATCAAGGTCAGTGAGTGTGAGATAAAACAAGACTGATGTAACAACTCAAAACTTGTAATGCATTGAGAGTATTTTACCTCCTCTAGTTTAACGCAGTTGCGCATTATTAGAGTCTCGAGTGGACTCTCTTTGCAGCTGTTTCCCAAATCCCTACCAGCATCAATATTTTTATGCAATGTGAAATTTTAATAGCAAGGACTTTTAAAGGAATTAAGCTATGAACATTTTTTGTATTTGCACCTCAGAAAATGACCATTGATTTTAGGCGATCTGGACAGATTCAGATACTTCAGTTTTCGAGAACTCTGGAAATAACATGCAGATGTTATCCGTGTTGTATAAAAGCATAGATGGTAATCCAATAAAAGAGAGAAGAAATTAGCAGTAAAATCAAATAGAAGCCATACATACCTCAACAAGTTTCCGGACTATTTCATTGGTTAGTTGAAAACATAGGAGTGTTAGAGAAGTTAAGTTGTGGGACTTGGTCACCAACTCTATCAAGTGTGAAGCTGTTGATGCGTCTATATTACCTGTAACACATTAGGCGAGCTTGAGAAAACCTGGGACTCAACAGCGAATTAGTGGAGAAGCTCTTACCTAGGGGGTGATAGCTCCCTAAGCACAGGTGCTCTATCAGACGACATGTTTTTGAGAGGGTCATAAATAGAGGCATAAATGGACAATTGCTGCCACATGAAACACAGAATAAATGGACTATCAATAAGAGCTAACAGAATTTAAAAAATAGCAAAACAACATAAAGAACAGAAGATGCCAATATGATACCACTTCTGCAGAAAGTAAAAGGAACGTGAAGAAATTCCATAAACTCAAAATAAATAAATAAATAGTCACACTAAAGACAACTTACAATCCAACAATCCTCAGATCAGTGAGATTCGAACAAACTGACAACACATTGCTTAAGGAACTGTAGTTCATCGGTCTGATATTGTAAAGCCGTAGGCTTCTCAAGCGCCTCCTAGTTGAATGGACAAACAACAAGATGACAGCAAATTACAGATTAAATGAATATTTTCTTGAGCAGGAAACTAGTGAAGCCATTCTCTATTTATGGCAGCGAGATTGTATTGGGACATTTTTCCTGCTCTATGTCTTTCCTATCTAAACATAAAAAAAAAAAGAAATTTGATGATGACATACCCAAGAAAACCATGATTATAGGATAGTGAGGAAAGAAAAGGTCCATTAAACCAAATTGGATTAGGTTCAGGTCCATATCGCCGAGTAACATGACCAAGCTTGATGGATCTACAAGCATACACCAAAGTTCAAATAACAAAAGCCATTGAATGCAGATCCGTTGGCTTTCTTTCAGATATTGTCTAGATATTATACTATTCGCAGGTACTTGGATCGGATCCGGATATCCAACCTAAAAATCAATATATCCGAATCCGGTTTTGACCTGATCCGAGCATTTGGATATCCTATTTTCAGAACAAATCTTGGTATCCCAGGTAATAAGTCCAGCCCTAAGTTATATACTAGAAGTTACAAAAAAAAAATTAATAATAAATAATTCACCTGAGTTCTTTACCCGCACGATGGATCATTGTACACACAACTTCGTTATCAGCTTGTATGGTATCTGTAGTCAAGTCGATGTGGGCGTAAGATGAACGGTCCATCGCACATTTGTTGAACACGGTGCAGCACGCAGCCACTTGCATCAAAGACTTTGTATCAAGCTTCGAAAACACCTTTAAGAAATAAAAGCAATCAAAGTGTTAGATTCGGGTTTATGGGCTTCCAACTTAAAACCAATTGGTGATTAGTGGATTGGCCCTAACCCTTTATATAGTAGTAGATTAATTCTTATATTTCCGATGTGGGATGTTTCTCATCAATACCCTCCCTCACGCTCAGACATCTCTAGGTCTGAAGCGTGGACAATGTGGGAATAACATCCACAAGGGTCCAACATCGGTATAGTAGTAATTGTAGTAAATTAGGTCAAAGGATCTTATCGCTCTGATACCATATTAGATTCGGGTTAATTATGGGCTTCCAACTTAAAACCAATTGGTGATTAGTGGATTGGCCCTAACCCTTTATATAGTAGTAGATTAATTCTTATATTTCCGATGTGGGATGTTTCTCATCAATACAAAGCTTAACGCATATCCTCATTTTGATTCAGAAAGATCTAAATCAAATATTTGAATTTACCTTGATGGTGAGTTCGGGAGGGAGGACCCAGGAAATGGAGTTGTGAGCTGCAGCTCGCTGGCGGAAGCACCGCTCAGTGGATTCTAGAAGAAGCGATGCGATGTTGATGGTTCGATTCAGGAGACGATCCTGAACAGAGGCGTCATCGGAAGCAGAGGCGAGAGCTTTCTCGAGCTCTCGATCGAAGGAGCAGGCGACGGAGAAGGGAGTGGAGGCGGGAAATGAAAGGAGAGATGAGATTATAGAATCTGTGTGGAGGGAGCGAGGGTTTTGGGTGGGGGTTGTTGGAGGATCCATGAGACTGGATGTTGGGAGAGTTGTATTTTCTACAGATTTTTGAGTTTTATTTTCTACAGATTTTTGCTTCGAATGACTCCAACAACATGATAATCTCATCGTTTTAGTGACAGAAGAAGAAGAGTTGAGCGATGAGAAGAGAAAAGGGGAGAAACAAAGCTGTGTTGACTCAGCAGTGTTGACTTGGAAGTAGGAACACTCTGTCATGTTTTCAACTTTTGATAGTGCTAGTTTCTATTAATAATTTATTCTCTAATAAATTTTAAATCTATACAGCAAGGCAAAGAGAAATTGGACTCTATAACCATTAAAAAAATGACTTATTCTTGGGTTCACCCCTATAATGAACATCTAGGTCCACCAATCAATAGGATAATGTTATTTTATATTTGATATCTTTTAAAAAAGGAAACAAAATCTTGTCAAGTTATATTATGTTTTTAAAATAAAAATAGAAATAATAAATAAAAATATTAATATTTACAAAAAATGAAAAAAATCTTTAAAAAATACTTTAACATTATATTATGTTTAAAATAAAAGATAAAATAAAATAAAAACAGTAATAATTGCAAAAAAACAATTTAAAACAAAAAATATTTTAATATATTTTTAAAATAAAAATATGTGTTTAAAATAAAAAGATAAAAATAAATAAAAATAGTATAATTTGTTAGTATTAATTTACCCAAGAGTTAAGATTTTTCCAAAAGGTTTATGATTTACTCAAGGGTTTAGGGTTTATGATTAGGGTTTAGGGTTTAGTATTAGGGTTTAGAGTTTAGTGTTTTAGTGTTATATATTTTTTTAAATTTTTTTTTCCTTTATTTAAATATTATTATTTTTTATTTATTTTTTGTATTTTTATTTTATTTTATTTTTATTTTTAATTATAATATATTATATTAAAACTCCCTAAAAAGGGGATCGGATAATACATTCGCCACCGGAGAAACGTCGGCAAGACCAAAACAACAACGTACATACATCAATAATCAAACAAAAGAGCACAGCAAGATCCAGATCGAAGATCTAAAAATCTAAAGAGAGAAGATACTCGAGCGAGGGTAAGACGACCAAGGAGTAAAACTCCAACTCCGACGAACACGAATGGATAGCGGTACCAACGTCATCGTAAACTTCACCGCCGCCGGCGTGTTCGAAACCGACCTTGAATCCGTCAACAAATAGCCTTCACCGATAGAGCCATCCTCGGAGGGCCCTGCGGCCCCGAACGCCGAGATCTACAGGAGATCCGACTCTCAAACTTCCTCCGCCAAGCTCCATTGTTGCCTCGCCGTCAAACGTGTTTTTGGCCACCGCGCGCAAACCCTAAATTCCACCGGCCAAGAGAGACTACCGCGTCTAAGAGGGAGATATCTCAAGGAACTGCCATCCCAGAGATACGCTCGTCGACTACGGCAGGCTTCACAGCGACGGCGCAAAAAGAAAACCCCAACCCCGATGTCTAACTTGCGAAATGACCAGCTTGCCTCCACCGTCCTCTAGCAGAGACCAACAGCCAGCTTCCGACGAGACACCAGGATTAGGCTCCTACATAGAGGTCCACCGAGCAGAGACCTGTTCACCGCAGAGAAGATAAGGTTGCGCCTCCGTCGGACATCGATTATCCGTCTGTTAAGCTCGGAATCCGAAAGGGGGGGGGGGAGGGAGCTTCGTCACAGACTGTCGTGAAACCAGGCTGGAGAAGCTCCTCCCAGATCTGGATCTGAAACTTTGGGAGAGAAAGGAGTAGGCGCGTGTCTTCACTTGCCACTCAAAGGCCCCTGTATTTCCTTTATTTTAAAAACATAATATAACTTAACAAGATTTTATTTCCTTTTAAAACAGATATCAAATATAAAATAACACCATCCTATTGGTTGGTGAACCTACCCTAGGGGGTGAACCTAAGAATAACTCTTAAAAAATTATAATTCAATCTATGACTAGTTGCTCTACTTTTCATGTATATCACTTGTATAATATGACTAACTAGGTGTTTTGCCCGCACTTGCGGGCTTAATAATTTTACTAATATCTATAAATAAATATATAATCAATTTATGTAAATTATAATAAATTATAGTTCATAGACTCAAAATATTTAATAATAAACTAAAGAAATTCTTTCTATATATAAAATTTTTCATCATCATATAAATAATTTTCATTACACAACTTATATTTGAAAATACTCATGAACTTAAAACATTTAGTAATAAATTAATATCATTTTTAGACATAACAAAAAAGTATAAAAATTATCTTTAATAACGTTTTGGATAACACAATATAAATTATCTATACATAAATTCTTTGCGAATTGATTTTTCATAATTAACTATATATTAACAAATAGAATTAGTTTTCAACGTTAATAAAGACTTTATAACACAATATAAAAAGTTAGGTAAAGATAATTATCAAATTCATAAGATCCATTTTTTTAATTTAGAATTAATTATATGTTAACAAACATAATTATTTTTCAAAATAAAGACTTTATCCCATAATATAAAAAATTAAAATAAGGATAATTATCAAATAAATGAAATTCGTTTTTAATTTATAATTAATTCTATATTAACTAATATAATTATTTTTCAAGGTTAATAAATACTTTATAACCCAATATAAAATAGTTTTATATAAAGATAAATCTAAAATCATTGAAATTTGTTTTTATTTATGTTTAATTATATTAAATTTTTAATTATTCATTAAGGATATAAACGATATTAACCACTCTAACTTTCAACGTGAAAGTTACAAATTAATCAGAAATTCACTTAAATTTTATAAATGAAAATATATTTTTAAGATAACAATCTAATACAAAAGAATTAACATATTTTCTAAAAATATAATATTATTAACATAAATTCGTTTTTTATTTTATAATAAATTATTAAAACATGAAAATAAGCAAAATAACCTAAAATCATGGAGAAGTTGACAACTAAGCAAATTTACTTCTCAAATAATGTTATAGATTGCCACAATTCATCATTGCCACAATTCATCATTGCCACTATCTTTACTTCCAAAATTTTGATTATTTTGGAAAATCGTTCTTACCAATTTATAGTTAGTAAATGTATTTTATTTGGAAAGTGAGGGAGTATGGTCGGGGTCAGAATTATTTTTTTCCATACAATTATAGACATTTCATAATTTCACCAATATGTACTATGTTATTTATTTTATTCCATTTTATTTGGGTTTTAGTGTTTATATTTGGATTTTGGATTTATATTTGGATTAGGGATTAGAGATTAGAATTTAGGATTTAGTATTTAGAAGGTTAGGAGGTTGTGATCATCATTAACTTCTTCCATACAATCATAGAAATTTCATAATTTCACCAATATGTATTATGTTATTTATTTTACTAGGTACAGGCCCGTCCTACGGACGGATTATTGACCGAAATTATATATTTTTTATATTATAATGTTAAGTATTTCAAGACGTTTATCTAATTTGAAATTAAAATGATTTAATATTCACTATGTATAATTTGTTATTATATTTATATATTATCTTTATTTTCCAGTTGAAAAATATGCAAAAATATATAATAGTTTCATATGTGTTTAGTGTTTATTCTACTTTAGTTATGATAGTTATGAACAATAGAATAGCCTTTGGATGTCAAAAAATATGATAGTTAAGATAGAATAGAGATTTTAGTATATATAAACATGGATAACATTTTCATTCTTACACCTTTTCTTAATACATTGATAATTTATTTCCAGTGTGCAAATAGAATACAGACTAGCTATAGAGGTAAAAATGCTTCAAGTTACAATTTTAATACAAAACTCCAGTTAAATATGTAACTAAAATACTTAAAACTAGATGATAACCCGCGCCATGCGCGGGGTGAGCTTTTTAAAAATATTTCGTATAAATACATTTTTTTGCTATCAATAACTTTTTTTACATTTGATTAGGGATGAGCATTTGGGTACCATTTGGTTTGGTTAAATTCTGTGTGGTTTAGATCTTTGCAGGTTCGGATTGAGTTTATGTTCGGATAACCCATTTAATTTTTTTTTAAGATAAAAATTTATATATACTTTAAATTTTTCAAAATCAAAAATTAAAAATAATATATAACATATAAATTTGAAAAATGAATGACAAAATACTTGAAATTAACATAAAACTGATTTATCTTAAATATTTGGGCCAAAAATCAATAAATATTTCAAACAGTTTTGGTATTTGGAGTCTCGTTTAGCTATTTTAAAAATGTACATTTAACTATTTTATATATTTCAAAGTATTGTGGAAAATTTTTAAAAAACCTCATGTATTTTGTATATTCTTAGATGTTGAATTTAAAAATAATTAATATATTTAAGTATATAAATCTGGTTCAAGTACACTTGGATACCCGAGATATTTCGATTCAGTTTTGGTTCTCTAGATACCAAAATTTCGAATCTGTTTGGATATCTAACCAATTTTGGTTAAATGGTTTTACTACTTTTTGGATTAGATTTGGTTCGGTTATCTGGATTCAGTTTTTGCCCAACCATATATTTTTTATTGTAACAAAAATTTAAACAAAAGAGATGATGGTTCATATTGATTTAGGGTATGCAATAATTTTTAAACAAAACACACTCTATTATGCGCAATCGATTTAGTTAATCATTATAAACTGTTTAAGACCCATTAGAAAAACGATTGGCTGAACTAAAAAATGTTATCATTGATCAGAATATTTTCAATGTAAGATTTTTACCATTTTTAGTAATTTATGATCGTTTTAAAAAAAATCAAAATATAACATATAAGAAAAAAATCTAATTTTTAATTATATGATTAATGTGATTGTTTAATTTCTTTTAATAATATAAAATTATTAAAAATTAAAGATGATAAAAATTGTTATCAAATCTTTTTTATTCATAAACATTAATTGTGATAATATGTTAATCATATTAGGTAATTCCGTAGCTTTTATCTAAGGAAATAATAGAAAATATTATTTTATACACTACTAATTAAATATGACAGTTATTAGTTAGTATAATAAAACCATAACATATGTTTAGTTAGACCAACATATTTCTCTAAGAATTATGAAAATCATTATCATTATGACACGTGACTACCAAAAATGTTGTGATGCTCAAATATTAAAATATAGGGGATTTAAACTACTAATCAAAAATATTATATGTTAAATTTTTAAATGTTTTATTAGTTTATAGTTGTTTTAAAAAATTCAAAATATAACATTTATCAAAAAAAAAATATATTTTTTGGTTTTATAGTTAATGTTATTGTTTAATTTACTTTCACAATATAAGTTTAACAAAAACAGTAGAAGCTATAAATGTTTTTATCAGATCTTCATATTCGAATCATTTATTGTCATATATATATTATAACCATATTAGGTAATTTCGTAAAATTTATTTAAGGAAATAATGAATAGCAGTAATAATAGTTTTATGTTTAGTTTAATGAAAAGTATATTATATGTTTATATGGACCAACATTTTTTTCTTGTATATTTGAGAATCATTTTCATGATGAGACGTGGCTACAAAACATGTTGTAATGCTTTCCATTTAATATATAGGGGATATATATATTAAATGAGACTTCTTACTTATATAATTTTGTAATCATTTCTATTTTGTTATATAAAAAAAATTAACCATGGATCACAAAATTTCAATGTGAGATTTTGTAACAACTTTAGTCATTTATAATCGCTTTAAAATTATCAAAGTATATCATATACGAAAAATCTAATTTTTTATTATATAGTAATATAGTTGTTTAATTTACTTTAATATGATAAAACTTAAAAACACATTAGTTTTTATCAAATCTTTATTATTGAAAATCATTAATTATCATATATTCTTTAACCATATATGGCAGTTCCATTATTTTTATTTAAGGAAACAATGAAAAACATTAATAAATCATTTATGATTAGTTTAATAAAAAGCTTATTATATATTTAGATGGACCAACATATTTTCTAAGGATTCTAAGAATGATTGTGGTGATGACACGTGGCTACAAAAAAATGTTGTAATGCTTCTCCTTTAATATATAGGGGATTGCAATTATATATTTGAATATATGTTTGTTGGATAAATTCTGATATTTTGGTTGAATGTATGGCATGGCATATCTCCATCTGAGGGTCTTAGGCCGGAAAAATAACTTTGATTTTTTTTCAAACATGTGGGTGCTATTAATATTGCTTTACCGTATGTGTGCAAAGCCAAAAAAAATCCTTTCTAATTGCTTAAACCAGTATGCACATGATTAGAAAAAAATAATTCAAACTTGCTTTGGAGTTTTACTTTAGTTGACAAGGCTTCTAAGGTCTTCATTAACTAAGCATATGCAGAGTCTCGTTTCTTTGTTAAGGATGTTATGAAACTGGCTATTAATGTGCCTATTAGGACTGAGATTGTAGACAAAACAAAGAATTTTATAGTACACCACTATTCAATGCCGTAGAAACCAAGGCATCAACAACATATTGCGTTAGTGTTATTACAGTGAAATCTCTATAAATAAATAATGTTGGGATTACACCAAAATTTTATTTTTTTATTAATTTAGAGAGATATTAATTTATCGATATACTAATCGAACCAAAAACTCAATTTGAGACTATAAAATTCTATTATTTTATAGAGATAGTTAGTGTATATTAATTTATCGAGTATTAATTTATAGATGTTCTACTGTATATCTATAGAGCCAAAATCCTTTTTTGTAGAAAATGGGGTTAAATCATTAGAGTTGCTGTATAAAATATAAACTTATTGAGCCTTCAAGAAAAAGAGCGTAGTGTGTAATGTATGATGTTTTTGGTACGGGTAGAGTGAAGAAAAGATGATTGAGACACCATGTGAGAAAGATGTCACAACCCCAATTCAACCTCTCTTAACCATGACTTGTCTCTATTTACCTTCTTCTGTGTAAATTAGAATTTTCCCACAAAGTCTCTGTCTCCACTTCAAGACAAAAACTGACTCCACCAATAATCTATCCCTCTCTGTCTTCTGCTCAGTCTCACCAACTCTTCTTACAGTAAAATAGATTTCATATGGAGAGGTTTCAAGTACACATTAACCCATGTGTATGCATCTTTGCTTAATTTAGGAAGCTTTCACTTTATTTATCGAATCTTCCCTATGATCAACGAAACAGACTTGTATTTACTCATTTTTTTCATAATGAGAGTACAAATGATTTGCTTTCAACGTGTTTCTTTTTTTGTTTTACAGAAAACAATGGCAGATTCTACAATCAATTTGTTTCTCTCTACTCTTGAAAACACTTCATATCCCTTTCTACTTTTGTTTATCTTTGCACAAACTTACCATGTCTCAAAACCAACCACACCACATAATCAGAATACACTTCATTTTCAGTCATTCTTCTCACCAAGTAATCAACATCCTATGTCTTTATTCCAGTTTGCAAATGTGAAAAACCTAGAAGCTCAAGGATTCGCAGAAGCTCAAAGCTTTGCCCTCAAAGAAGAAGAGGAGGAATAAAGCTTGCAAGACACAGTTCCATTTTCTACGGATGCTAGCTGCAGAGTGAAGAAAATCCTTTACCAATTACATCATTCAAAGAGCCAAATTTTCTAAGGCTTCAACACGTATCGGAGCAGTTGGTCGGTGATCTCAATGAAAGAGGATGAGTCGCTGAAACAAATCAACATAGAAGAGTCAAGGGTCTAAAATTATGGTTACATCAGATCCGGCTAGGGAATAGATAGACCCGCCTTCAGATTAGGCCGGTGAGTAGCAAGCCGGTTTAAATTAATGGTTTCCGCCATCATAGCCGCCTGAACAAATGTGAATTAGACAGAACCATCAACAATGACAACAAAAGGTCTAAAACTGTCTTATGCAAAAATTGTGAAACATAGATTTTTACAGGAAACTTGTGAATAAATATACAACACGACGGAGACAACCAGAAAATATGTCCACAAAAATATTCAAAACAAAAAACAATACAGTTAACTCTGGGAATAACGATTCAAGACGACGGAAACGTTAAGAAACTACGAACACAAGTAATATTTTAAATATGAATGCAAGCAATAATACTAACAAACCTGTGAATCTAGTATGAGCATATCGATTCCCACGAGTTCGCCACCTCGTCGGACGTTCTTGGCCTCGTAGAAAAAAGCAACCAAGTTTGGACAGTGGAGGAGCATCGTCCGGTCTGCAAATCGGAGAGGAAGACTAAAGCGTTAGCCGTATCTCAGACAATAAGTTTGATGTGTTTTCTTGACGGAATGCGAAGATGGTGTCAAGAGGAAAAAATGCATCAAACCTTTTTAGATCATCTAATATTTTGTCCAATCTTTTATGTTTCTTGTCAGAGTATTTTATATTGTGTGTTTCGTATGGATTATGCAATCGTTGACTTTTATTCTCATATTAGTAAATGAGATTATGGTAAAATTTTATTTTATTGGAACTCAATACGTTTTTTTATATTTATTAACTTTATTTGATTTTTGTGGAACACATTGTAATTTATTTGAATACACTCATTTTTTCAAACATCATGATATTATTATGACGCCATCTCTAACATATAATATTAACAGAGTTTAGTTTATAATTTTTTTTTTTTAAATATGTTATTGGTTGTCTTGGTCTTACTAACATTTGTCTTTATATTAACCGACTTACAGTATTTGTAGGCCTCAGAATCTGAAGTCGACAAGGAATTGCACGGATACTAGAGGTATGATTTTTCTTCTTCATCACAGCCAATGAATGTGATAAAACATTTTTCAGACAATGCTGGTTTCTTGTCACCCAAGACTTTATATAACAAATGTTGGTCTTGTTTTTAAGAGATCTGATGGGTTGTGTTTTCTTTTGGTTGTTAAATTTGGTATTTCAATCGTATTCATCAATCGTATTCAGAAATGATTGCTGAAAAAAGGAGACTGAAATGATTGCTGAAAAAAGGAAACCTACTGATGGTTTTGAAGATATATACAGTATAGTGCAAAAAAAAAAAACATGTTTCATAGAACATACCAACTCATAATAAGAGTTCAAACAAGAACTTCTACACAGTTCAAACAAGAAGACATGATCTTGTTTCTTCAATTCATTCCTCTACCATTGGAATTGTACAGAAGCTTTTGGTTGAATCATGAAGAAGAGAGGCGAGTTAGCAAGCACGATCGATGAGACAATCGTGAACTGTGTAAGCATAACCAGAAGCAGAGGAGATAATAGTTTGACTAACCGCTCGAACAAAGGAGCAGAAGCTAATAGAAGTACAAGGCCACTCAGGAAACAAAAGGAATGAGAAGACAGCCGAACAATACGACACTACGAACGGAACTAGGGCTAGAGCTTTGCCGACAAGCAAAAGTTACAAAGAGCTTTTTGGTTTGGGAGGGAGTTTCTTGGGGGGGGGGGGGGGGTTTGCAGAGCATTGATTAACAACTCCTCCAATCATCAAAGCTAAACGTCATCATCATCATCAAATTCTTCATCATCATCATCATCATCCTCTTCATCGTTCTTGGCTTCCATCATCTCTACCTTCCTCAGCTCTTCGTCATCCACTTCACCCCATACATGATAACGCTTCCCTGACCTACATTTACACGACACAGACCAACATTTTTAAAACGTTCTGTTTTCTTTGATCAAATTACTATAAAGAAGCTTATTCGTTGGCAGAAGACCTTTCTAATGGAAAATCCGCCACAAGTGTCACATCTGGTCTTTCTTCTTTCAGCTTCTCCAAAGGAAACCTACAACACACATTAACTCAGTGAGCAGTTGGTACAACATGAATCGAGCAGTTGGTGATATGTTAACAATGAAGGAAGGATTAATCAGTTACTTTGGTTTGTAAGATCTCACGCCATCATCAGAAACTAAGCCGCTGTTGCTTGAAACATCCTATTAATTAGAGGAAACCAAGAAAAAATAAGATTAACAAGAAACCAAGCTATACTATTTTGGCATAGATTCTCTTAAAAACTTACAATGTGCCGAATGCATTTGAAGTTTCCTTTGAGTAACGAGTTACAGAGTTCCAAGACTTCTTTCTTAATTGTCAAAGATCAGTGAGTGTCAAATAAATCAAGACTGCTGAAACAATTCAAAACATGTTATGCTCTAGAATCTTTTACCTCCTTTAGTTTTTGGCAGTTGCGCATTATTAGAGTCTTGAGTGGGCTCTCTTTGCAGCTATTTCCCAAATCCCTACCAACAATTAATATTTTCGTGAGATGTGAATTTTTGTTAATAAAGACTTTTGGAGGAAATTAAGCTATTAACATTTTTGTATTTCACCTCAGAAAATGACCATTGATTTTAAGTGATCTGGACAAATTTAAGTACTTCAGTTTCCGGCAACTCTGCAAATAACATCCAAGTATTATCCGTGTTTTATAAAAGCATAGATGGTATCCAATACAAGAGAAAATAAATAGCAGTACTAAAATTAAATAGAGCCATACATACCTCAACAAGATTCCGGACTACTTCATTGGTTAGGTGAAAGCCTATGAGTGTTAGAGAAATTAAGTTGGGGGACTTGGTCACAAACTTTATCAAGTGTGAACCTGTTGACGCGTCCCTTCTACCTGTTACACATTAGGCAAGCTTGAGAAAACAAAAACAATAACTTCAGCGATTTAGTGGAGAAGCTTTACCTATGGGGTTATAGGTCCCTACGCACAGGTGCTCTATCAGATGACAGTTTTTTGCCAGGGTCATAAATAGATGCATAAATTGACAATTGCTGTCACATGAAACACATAATAATGCAAAAAATGAGGGACCATTATTTTGACGATTAAAGAATTAGCAAATAGCAAAACAATTTAAACAACAGAAGATGACAAAGGAAAAGGAAAATGAAGGAATTTCAAAATAAATAAGCAGTCACACTAAGACAACTTACAGTCCAACAATCCTGAGATCAGTGAGATTCGGACAAACCGAAAACACCTTGATTAAGATATTGCAGTCAATCGCTATGATATTGTAAAGCCGTAGGCTTCTCAGGCGAGTCCTAGTTGAATGAAAAAGGATGACAGCAAATTAGAAGATTAAAGCAACAATTACTTAAGCAGAAAACTAGTGAAGTCATTCTCTATTTATGGTATTTTATTATCTTCCTAAGGCATCAGCCATAAACAAGTGAATTCTGGGAATAATTGTTTTTTTTTCCAATTTTGATGATGAAAATTAAAACTGAAAATCAAGACATACCCAAGAAAACCATGATTATAGGATAGTAAGGAAATAAAAGGTCCATTAAGCAAATATGGTTTACAATCAAATCCATCTAGGCCAGTAACACGGCCAAGCTTGAGGGACCTATAAGCAACAACATAAAAACAAGTTCAAATAACAAAAGCCACAGCATAGACCAAAGTTCAAATAACAAAAGCCAAGAGAGTGATCCCATATGATTTAAGTACAAAAAAAAAGAAAAAGAAATTCACCTGAGTTCTTTACCAGCACGATGGATCATGGTACACACAACTTCATTATTAGCTTGTTTAGTAGCTGTAGTCAAGTCAATGTGGGCGTAAGATAAACGGTCCATCGCACATTTATTGAACACTGTGCAGCACGCAGCCACGTGCATCAAAGACTTTGTATCAAGCTTCGAAAACACCTTAAAAAAAAGGCAAACATATCCTCAAAACTCTCTCTCCCAGATTCGTGAAAGATCTAAATCAAATATTTGAATTTACCTTGATTGTGAGTTCGGGAGGGAGAACCCAGGAAATGGAGTTGTGAGCTGCAGCTCGCTTGCGGGAGCATCGTGTAGTGGATTGTAGAAGAAGCCATGCGAGGTGGACAGTTCGATTCAGGAGACGATCCTGAACAGAGGCGTCATCGGAAGCAGATGCGAGAGCTTTCTCGAGCTCTCTGTCAAAGGCGCAGGCGACGGAGAACGGAGTGGAGGCGGGAAACGAAAGGAGCGATGAGATTATAGAGTCGGCATGGAGGGAACGAGGGTTTTGGGTGGGGATTGTTGGATTTCTCTTTTCTCCAGATTTTTGCTTGGAACCACGCCAACAACATGATAAGCTCATCGTTTTAGTGACAGAACATAAGAGAGGATAGAAGAAGAAAGAGTTGAGATGAGAGGGACAGAGAGAGAGAGAGAGAGAGAGAGAGAAAGGGGAAAAAAAGAGTTGGTGAGGATGAACACAGTGTGATGATTTGAACTTTTGGGTAGTGACGACTGACGAGAATTTCTACTAGCGCTAGTTTCTATTAATAATTTAGATTTTTTTTCTAATAATTTTTTAAAAAATAGTAAAACAAAGATTTTAAAATATATTCAAAATATGATTTTTCTTTTTCCTATTAAAGTTCTTGTACAATTCTAATTTTTAAAATGACTATAGATTTTTATTTGTATATGTAAATATATGAGTTGTATATGTTTATATATAAGTTGTGTTATAAAGATATTTATATTTTTAGTAGTTATATAAAATTTTATACATATTTTGTGCATATTATACGACACTATTTGAATGACATAAGAGATTAATCTAGAGAAATTAAATTGACATAACATAAGATTTTCATGCTTTCCATGGCCAGTATAAGAGCTTGCATCTCCGTGTATAATGACGACAATTAATCATTGTAGAATCGTTATCCGTTGTAGATAGTTAATGATTATATGTTATAGAACTAAATATTATATAATGATGTAATTGTTATGAACCAAATGGTGGATTGTCGTAAACGGTTCGTACCGGTCCATCCATAACCGGTATGTCCATTACGTTTATAGCCGGTTGGTTCTAAACTAATCTTTACTAGATTAGGATTTAGTGTTTTCCTATTTCATGATGGTTTATGATTTGTACTATTTCATTTTTCCTAGTTAGTTTAGATTTTTTTCTTTTCCTAGGATCTTGTAACTCTCTATATAAGGGTACCTTATGTTTATGAATAATATACACAACCATTCCTCCATACTTTCACAACACGTTGTCAGCACGATAAGTCCCTAAATCCCTAAGCCAAAAGTTCCGACTAGAAATCCTAATCTCTCTCGCGAGAACCCTTGACGGCGTGAACCTTTTTAAGGCGAGAACCCTAACCCTAATTCTTGTTCAATCCATCCGATCTCAGCAAGCTCCATCCGCGATCCGATACTCAGCAAAGTTCCAATCCAATCTCAGAACATTCCACAACCCGTTCTCCGCACGTTCCAGTTCGCGACCCATATCCGAGGAGTTCCAGCTCACGACTGCATGGACTCAGCTTGCAATCCTTCTCTTGTTCGGTCCATTCATCCCAATTGGTGATTAAGGTAATTCTTGAAACCCTAATGATAAGAAATCAAAACCTTAAAATTGATAAACCCTAATTTACGAACTAGACCTAATCACATGCTAGAACCGAACTAGTCCGATGCTAATAACCGAACTATGCTAGAACCCGGATGATAGGCTTGCTAGATTTATTGATTGATTGATCCGTTTGAATGTCTTGGGATAGAAACCACATGCTAGGTTAATTGTTCTCACACGTTTTAGACTTGATCAAATCCGGCATGATTATGTTTACATGATTCCATTCTTATCCTAATTGAATCAGATGGAGAGAATATAATATTTGCATAACCCGATTATTTGATTGAGGTTCCATGATTCATGCTTTTGCTTGATTGTGTTTACATGATTCCATTCTTATGAACATATAGTAATCACTTTTTAGGAATATCTTGTTTGGTCGATTACCTTGTTTTGCATCTTAGCCATAAGAATTGTTTGCACCATACCCGTACCACTTGTTTGCATCATATCTTTTTAACCTAAAGTATAAAGATATATGATTTCAGATGTCAAAAATCAACAACTTGGATTTTACTGTCCTAAATCTCTCAGGAGATAATTATTTACAAAGGGCATTGGATGCTAAGATCATTCTAAAATCAAAAGGGCCGGTGAATGTATCACCGAGGACAATAATGCAAGTAAGAAAGATAGATACATGGTTATTCTGATCATTCGCCATCATCTTACTGAGAGTCATAAAAATCAGTATTTGAAAATTGAGAATCCTCTAGACCTTTGGACATAATTGAAAACGAGATATGATCAACGGGTGATATTACCAAAGGCTCTATATGATTGGAGGGATCTCAGAATCCAGGACTACAAGTCCGTGGATGAGTATAACTCAGCTCTATTTAAGATCATTTCTAAACTGAAACTATGTGGTGAGGATATAACGGATAAGGATATGTTAAAAAAGACTTCTTCCACCTTCCACACAAGTAATGTGTTGTTACAACAACAGTACCGTGAAAATGGCTTCACAACATATGAAAATCTGATCTTATGTCTATTGCTAACTGAGCAAAACAATGAATTGTTGATGAGAAACAGTGAATTGAGACCTTCTGGATCAACCGCACTACTTGAGGCAAATAAGGCCGTAGAGGAAAAGAAAGAGGCTTACCACGTCCATAACAACAGCCAACACAGCTGTGTCCGTGTAAAATGGCAAGGACGTGGTCGAGGTAACTATAACGGCCGAGGGAAGCATTATGGGAACCGAGGTCGTGGGTACCAACCCAAGTTTAGCCATGGTCGAGGCCAAGGCCGTGGTATCTCCTTTAAACCACAACACTCGACCAAATCGACCAAATCAGTGTGCCATAGGTGTGGAATGAGTAACCATTGGGTTAAAACATGTAGAACTCCCAAACATCTCGTTGAACTCTATCAAGAGAGTTTGAAAGGGAAGAACCTTGAGGCCCACTTGATCTATCAAGATGGTAAAGATGATGTTGATCATGGACGAGATGATCATATGGAGTATGAATCTTCAGATTGCTTAAAAGAATCAAGTTGATTTCGACCACAAACTTTTGTGTTTTCTTTGCTTTATGTTTTCTTTGTTTTCCATGTTTCTTTGAACTTGTTTTATTTCTTTGAACTTAAATGAATGAATGATTTTTCAATATGAAGCATCTACTGATCTTTACTATGCTAAGATCAGTATGATAGAGGCTAATACCACTGTGAAAAAAGTGTTCTCTAGAGCTTCACTCTTTTGCACGACCGGCTCGGCCATCCCGGTTCGACCATGATGCGAAAATTGATATTGTATACAAATGGGCACACATTGAAAGAAATAAGAGTTATCCTTAAGAATCTCACGTCTGTAGCATGTTCACAAGGAAAACTCATTGTTAGGCCATCACCAGTTAAAGTGACTAAGGAAACAATAAACTTTCTGGAAAGAATACAAGATGACATTTGTGGACCAATACACCCACCTTGTGGGACGTTTAGATACTTTATGGTCCCTATTGATGCGTCCACAAGATGGTCCCATGTATGTCTATTATCAACCCGCAACTTGGCGTTTGCGAGGTTACTTGCTCAGATGATTCGTTTAAGAGCTCACTTTCCAGATTTTCATTGAAGACTATACATCTTGGTAATGCTGGTGAATTCATGTCCCAAGCGTTTAATGATTATTGCATGTCCATGGGGGTAAGTGTAGAACATTCTGTGCCACATGTACATACACAAAATGGCTTAGCGCATCCTTCATTAAACGCATACATCTAATTGCTAGACCATTACTTATGAGATCAAAACTCCTGATCTCCGTTTGGGGACATGCAGTTTTATATGCATCCGAACTAATTCGCATCAGGCCATCTAGTAAGCATAAATATTCCTCGTCTCAATTGCTAACGGGTCACGAACCAGACATAATCCATCTTAAAACTTTTGGTTGTGCCGCCTATGTATCAATAGCTTCACCACAGAGAACTAAGATGGGACCTCAAAGGCAGATGGGGATATATATTGGATATGACTCTCCCACAATAATTAAGTACCTTGAGCCAACCACGGGTGATTTGTTTAAGGCCAGGTACGCGGATTGTCACTTTGATGAATTCGACTATCCAACATTAGGGGGAGATAATAAGCTCGTAAAATAAAAAGAGATTACATGGAATCAACCATATTTTTCCTGGCAAGATCCTCGAACTCAAGAGTGTGATTTAGAAGTCCAAAAGATAATACACTTACAACAGCTAACTAATCAATTGCCATATTATTTTTCTGACCCAAATAAAGTAATACATACCAGCTGTAAATGCACCAATTTGTATTGATGTCAAGGAAGGATACGGTCAAGTTGCTACAGAGTCTAGAGCACGTTTGAAACGTGGTAGACCAATAGGTTCCAAAGATCAGAACCCTCGGAAACTAAACAAAGGTGCTGGAACTGAACCCGTGGTCGAGGGAACCCTAGACATGGACGAGCCGGCGGAACCTAATGGGCCGGCTAACCTTATGTACCAAAAAATGAGG